TGGACAGACTAGTAAAAAGTAGCCTCAACTCGGCACTGACAAGCCCTCGCTGTCTAAGCTGGCAAAACTGCTCCTTCAGCTTTTCTTAGCAGCTGAGACAAGAACTTCTCTTGGAAAGCATTCACAAAATGCCTCCATGCACCCACCAACACTGCCCTTCTCATACTTCCACCATTGACCGCATCTCCCTTCAGCTGGAAGGATGCCAAAGGTCACCTTAAGCCCCCGTCCTCGATGCCAGCATCTCGAACGTCTTCTCCATTTGTATCCAACAACTCGTCAGCCTTAAGTTGCTCCTTTAGATCCCCAACAAACTCGTCCGGGTTAGACCGGAAGAATTCCCTCTTCAGGAAAGAAGGCCCTGCCTCAGCAACTAATTCTCAGCTCTGAGAATTCCCAAGGCTCTCGCTATCTCTCGGGCCAAGGCGCCCATAGCCTGCTGACCCGCTGGCTTGGCCACATTGGGCCTGACCAACTCCCTTCTGCACTGCCGGAAACCTCCTCCGGTAAAAGGCATCTCCTACCTACCATGCCTGCCACGCCTACCATGCCCTCGTCCTAACATCCTAATAAAGGTAACCAAAGACTATTAGCACATTCACAAATGTGCCGAAGCTATAACACCCTCGTCCTAATGGCATGGACAACTGTAATTCACTCCACGTAAGCATATAACACACAAGCATTACGAATTTCATTTCCGGATAATGATAGTCCCGAGGCATTACTAGAGTTCCGGTTAGAAACAGCATTGATCAAGTGCTTTTCCAACAAGACTCCCAGCAACCCAAGGATCCGATCAACATCCTAGAAACTACATTCCATACCCACATAGTCACATAAGAATGTTATCAATTAGCACATTGCATATAACACTACATCTAAGTCTCTATCAAACGAGACAAACCCATTGTGATCCTAATCACTTCCCACGTACCCAAAGTATTCGAACCCGGTACGCTCTGATACCAAGTTGTAACGCCCTCAAATAATAATATTAAACCCATCAATATAGATATGCATGGATATATAAAAGTTCCAATTCTTCTATTCATCAGAGTTCCATTATCAAAAGTATTACATGTTAACAACAAAAGCAAATGCCCTAAGATTACAAGCTTTCCAACCTAACACTTGGTTACAACAAAAGAGTACTAACTCATTTACACATTAAGCCCTTGGCTTGAATATACATGTAATACATCAAGAAACTAAACAACAAAAAAATCTGCCCGCCTCTAGCCTCCCAAGCTACGTCCTTGGAGGTGGCATGCTACCTATACCTGAAAATGATATTCCATATAGGGTGAGCCACAGCCCAGTAGAGATATGCTAAACACAGTATGAGCAATGACTAAGATATTAGCAATTGATAAATGTTCAATTTTCATAAACCGATTCATAATCCATTTCCATTTCCTATCAATTTTCACATTTCACAATTTCTATCAATGGCTCAGAACCTGGCAACCACTTATTATATGAACAAAGACTCATATTAAACATTTTCCATTTTTACAATAGATAAACACACAGGTTATATCAATATCTCAACAGATAAGCATACAAGCTATATCCACATTTTAACAGATATGCATATTAGCTATATCAACACTTCCCATGACAAGCATATGAGCTATATCAACACTCCAATGACAAGCATATAAGCTGTATCAACACAATATCTGACAAGCATATGAGCTGTATCAGTGGAGTTCATCCCCTATCTCCTCCAAACATCATCCGGTTTAGAGGTCCATCCCCTATCTTCCCCTAAACCATAGATACATCCCCTATCTCCTCCCACACACACAATGCATATATACACAAGGTCATATACACAATCAATCAATACATAACGTTAATGTATTCTATCAACCGTCATACTCTATGGCATATCCAATTGATTAGTTTTAGTTTGCCTAATCATCATGCATTGTCTACAACAATCAAAGCTACCCTCCACCGGTAGCCCAAGCAGTTATTTCTAAACAGATAATAAAGCTCCAACAGATAAAATATCAATGTTTTCAAAAGTGAGCGATTAACAAATCCAACTCCACTATTCTACCATATAATGAGTCAATTTCATTATTTCCAACTCAATTCTAAATATCAACACTTCTCCCGAATTAATTATACCAATTAATTTACACAACGAATTAGGGCTTTCTCCCCCATTTTCCAATATTGACCCAATGGTCCATATATCAACAACCAACATCGATACCGCTATTTTGAAACCCAAAATACTCATTTTAGAATCAAAATAATAAAACCCTCTTTGACATTTTGAAACCTTAAGTCCTAAAATTTCCCAACTTCAACACTTTATCAAAATCCCCAAAAATCTATGTTAAAGACCATAAAAGTGAGTAGGAATCCCTACCTCAAATTTGGAGCCCAAGAGGAGAAGATGTAGAAAACTTAAAATGCTCCAAACTCCAAGATTCACGGATCAAAACGAAGCCCTCGACGATCAACACAACCTTTACAAAAGGCAAAGGGAAGGAAAGTACTCTAACTAGATCAAACCCTAGAGAGAAGGGAGTTTCTAGAGAGAGAGACTCTCAAAATATCTTTTTAGAATGTAAGAGAGAGAGAGGAAGTGTAGAAAGTGATTCAAAAATGCCCAGCTGCCCTCTGTTATACGACATTCCCGCTCGAGCGGAAAACACAACGCTCGAGCGTCAAGAACAAAAATCTGGACACGCTCGAGCGCAATAAGGCCCGCTCGAGCGCCAAGACACAAGAATAAAGCACTCCCGCTCGAGCGCGAAAACCAGTCCGCTCGAGCGTAGATTTCCCCCTCTCAGAACTTATACCCAGAAAGTACTACCCGCTTGAGCGCCAACAAACCCGCTCGAGCGCCACCGCTCGAGCGTAAAGAAACCCGCTCGAGCGTAGAAATCACATCTGCAGAAGTTTTGCAGGGACACGAAATACTGGAGGTATGCAATCCCCGCTCGAGCGCAAGAAGACCCGCTCGAGCGGATCGCCTAAAAACTGAACAACAAGGAATTGAAACCAAGGCCTAACCAACCTGTAACAACCCTGTTCAAAACATCCTAAAACTCAATCAAGTGGAATTAAAGGACGACAACAAGATAGATACCACTACCAACTTCACGGAACCGAGTCCGGAATGCAACAGAACGGTAAAGGGACAACCGGGATCGCTATATAAAAAGTCTAATTTGAGAAGGATTTTAGGTTTTTTTGATTTTTTTTGTGAGAGGAAGAATGCAATGATTATGGGTTGAATGTGTTGTTTTGTCTTATTGGGTTAAAAAGCCTATTTTGTTTTTTTTAGCTAAAATAGTTATATAAAAAAAAAAACCCCAACTTTTACTTCCAAAACAAAGACTTGTTTCCACCATTACCAAAAAAAAGTTCTCATCACATAAAATATAAATTTGTTATTTTTGTAAATAATTTCGAAATAGATTCTTTGGACCATGCTGTTTGGGCCTATGAGGCCCACCACGGGTCCTATTTCGATAATTCGGACCATTCAATATATAGAGCTCGTCGAGTATTTTATTTTTATAAAAAATCACGTTAATCGGATATCGATAGCTACTTAATCGGATTCGATTTATGTCAACAATTTATTTTAAAAATCATATTTGCCATTGAGAAAAATAGTATTTAATTAAGACAAACTTGCGTGTAAGTCTTAATAAGTGGACTTATTGTCTGATAGGCCCTATGGGAAAAAAATTGGTCATAAAAAAAGATCACTAATTGTAAGATTTAGAGATAATTGATAAAAATCATGACAAAAAAAGTCATTAATTGTCAATTTTTAGCGACATATATAACAAATTGTAAGATCACTAATTGTAAGATTTTAAGTGGCTATCGATATCTAATTAATATAATTTTTTGTAAGAATGAAATAATCGGCGAATTCTACACATTAAACGATTCGGATCATTGAAACATGACCCGTGATGACCCCTCATAAATCCAACAACACGCTTCAATCCGATCTCAAAAACCCCAAATAGCATTTTTAGTTCTAATTTTATAAGATTGATTTACAAATTCAACCCTTCCAAAGGAATACTAATCACACCTTTTGGGAGATTTCGTACACGGTTAGTCCTACGTTATTCTATTCTATCATAAGCAAATATGATTTTAGTAGGTTTCATGTATTATTAATTCAATCTCACTTTCTACAAACAAACATGGCATATATTCAAAAAAAGGCTGGTAAATTTGTCATTAAATTTCTTTTACTTCCTATATATGCATCTTCCCATTTGGTATGATAAATTTCACCATTTCTTAGATATCATGGCCCCACATATATAGTATTTATTATATAAATATACAGGAGATGAAGTAAAGAGATGAATTAAATACAGTTATAATTAGCATTTATGTCTAATTTTGCGTAAATTTTTTGCCTACACCAGTGTGAGCTTTAAGGTTGTGTTTAAATTATAAATTTAAGAAAAAAAATTATAAAAAAAATAAAAAAAAAATAAAAAAATAAGATAGGTGGAATGTAACTATGTTTTATTTATACTTTTACCTATATATATATATATATATTTTAAACTATTATTCAAATTTATAATTCAAATACAGTTAAAAAAAAAAAAAAAAGGGTAACAAATACAATGGTTGGACTTTTTACCTAGCTCCTTGACAAGCAAATTACAAAGAAGCCCAAGACAAGAATTTTACAAATCACAAGAGCTCTAAGATTCTTGATCAAGAACCATTCTTGTTGGGTACTGGGTGGGAGTGGGAGGGGGAAGAGGTTCAACAGTTGCATTCCAGTTATCAGCACCACTGATCAACAAATCCAAAGCATTGCTAAAGTCATCATCCCAGAAACCCATGCCCCATTCAAAAGTTGGCAACTCCAATTCCTCCAATATGTTGGATGAAGAAAAGTGGGAGGAAGAAGATGAAGAAGAAGATGATGATGATGACGATGATGATGATGATGATGAAGAGGTTATTGTTGATGATGATGATGGTGATGATGATGAAGGAACACAAGGTACAAGGTTAATATCATGGGGTTCAATCAGTGGGACTGAGGGAACACAAGGTACAAGATTAATTTCATGGGGTTCAATCAGTGGGACTTCATCTGTGGAAAAGCCATTATTGACTTCCATAGAGTTAAATGGGCCTTCCTCTTTGGCCTCAGTGTCAGTAATGGATGACTCAAATAATATCGTCTCTATTTCCTTGTTTTGACCCACTTCAGATAGAGATGGCACTGGCTCTGGTAGTGATTGTTCCTGTTGTTGATCGTGTGGTTGTTGTTGGAATTGATGATCATGAGTTGGAGTAGTAGGAAGTGGCTTGTGGGTGAGAGGATCTATCCCCATCTTTCTCAGCTTTTTCTTGATGTGGGTATTCCAGTGGTTTTTGATCTCATTATCAGTTCTTCCAGGGAGATGAGAAGCAATCTTGGACCATCTGCAAAAAAATCAAATGAATTTATAAGCTTTTAATGGCCACCACTACAATGGTCCAAGAAAAAGTAGAGTCCTTCCAAACATACCAAAAGCATTTCTTGACACACCTACTATTAGAGTATGATTCATATGAATATGCAAAGAAAATTTTGGGGTGTATTTCGGATGGGGTTGAGAGGAATAGATTTGGTAAAAACTTGATTTTGGCATAAATTGTACAAAGTTACCCCAAAGTAGTCATGGTATCTTCCAACCTACAACCTTAACATGAGTTTTAACCAGTGAGCAAGTTGCCTGAAAAGAATTTTCTTAAAAAAGTTATGGGACAGACTTACCCTTTACTTTATTTGGAAAACTAATCAGTGAAAGTAATTTTAAACTGTTGCTTATCATTGACAGAGAGGAGAGCTGTGTGTGCATATATATATATATATATATATTTTCCTTAAAAAAAAATAAACAAAGAGGATTTATTCCTTGTGTAGCTCTTTGTCTGCCATTTGAGGCATTCCTTGAAGGAAAATTATACAATAGAAAGTCCTTTAATGAATTATCAATCAGTGACATAATGCAACAGACATTGAGCCATTCATTAATTAGAAAGAGAAGAAGAAGAAGCAAAAGGGAAGACAAGGTGGAGACAAAAGAAGAATATTTTTAAGGGAATTGGTAGAGAGAGAGAGAGAGAGAGTGTGTGTTAATATAAAAACCTGTTTCCAAGTTGAGCATGGAGATCAATAACCATCTTCTCTTCATATTCTGATAAGAGACCCCTCTTCAGGTCTGGCCTAAGATAGTTTGTCCACCTCAGCCTACAACTCTTTCCACACCTTAACAATCCTGCAATTAACCATACCCCAATATATATATCTATATCTATATCTATCTATTTATTTATATCTATCTCTAACCCATAAGTTTTGTGGGAGTTCCAATATCTGAACCTTAATTTTTTAATTTTTTTGATTTTTTTTTTATAAAAAACTTAGCATTTATTAAATTCTTCCAAGTCTTTTTAACTTCTCCAATACACACACTCTTTTTAACTTGTCACATACCTATTACAAACAGTGAGTTTCCTTTTTGTTTTCTCTTTCTTGACTTCTCACTTCTACACTTTCAACTTCAGTGACCACGTATGCAAACAGTAAGTCTTCTTTTTTTTTCTCCTTCTTGACTTTTCCTTTTGTTTACTGTTTTAATATTATAGTTAGATAACGCATAAAAATATTTGTGATTTGTCTAGCGAATAAAAAATTATAATTTGATTTTTTAATATGATTGAAATTAGATAAACATAAACCCTCACAAAGAGAAAAATGTGATTATAATTAGTTGAATGATTCTTTTTTTTTTAGGAAAAATTAGTCTAGAGTCCCTCTCACACTTTTCGTAATGGAAGAGATCCACAAAATTATTTTTTGATGTGTAAGGTCCCTAAACATATCACAGAGAAATTTGACCTTACCAAATCAAAACTCATCTCTCTCTCTCTCTCTAAACTTCTCGATTCTCAGACTCCGACATCTATTTGTACCTCCGCGCTTGAACTCCTCCGATCAAAGACTCCGACATCTTTGTCCTCGTCCTCGTCGGCTAAATTTGATACGAACCCATGTGAAGAAGACAATTTGAGGATCGATTTGGTATCTGAGACAACCGGTGATGATGATGATGATTCAACGTTGATGCTGAAGATACCCAAGATGTTGACGATGTGACTGTCATTTCTCTGAGCTTGGTCTTCTATCTCCATATTTCGAACCCGGACATCCTCCGAAAAATCAATTTACTAACATTCACATACACACCAGAAGAGAGGTCATAGCCTATCATCAGGTTCTAATTCTCCAAGAACTCCTCTGAGTTTGGTACCCGATAGCTATTGGAAAGAAAAGTAGAGAGATCTGCACAAGGTAGAACAACTTAAGAAAAGTAGTTTAGAAAAACAAGTGCCTAACCAAAAAAAGGGTTGGTCGAAAAAAGTGAGAGTGAGTCTATCTAGAACTGAATCCGACCCGTCCCCATCAATGGTTGATAGCAGTAAAAAAGAACCCGAACCATCCATGAGAAGAAGTTTGCTGAAGGATTTGTCCAGGCAACTTGGATTAGAAGAAGATTCAGCAAAAATAATATGTAATGAAGATTTGGGTCTACCAGAGAAATTCTCTGGTTTTTAAACTGAATTTTCTCTAGGTTGAAACCAGAGAAATTCTCTGGTTTTTAAACTGAATTTTCGCTTCTGCAACTTGTCTCCTTGTCTTGGCTTTTCTCCAAACTTACTACACTATCGTCTCCTCAACCAAACCATAAATAAGGTAAGACCATTTGTTTTCCTGAGTGCTATTTGCTTTCATGTCTCTAGGTTAGTTGGGTCTCTTCTATTTGTTCTCTAGGTATCAACATTTGTTTAACCCCTCTCACTTTTTCTCTATTTAATGTGTTTGTGTGTGCATTGTTTTTCTCTGGTTTGGAGTCCAGAGAAATTCTGGGAGAAAACTAAAGAAATTTGCAAATCAGAGAAATTTGAAGAGAATTGGATCAGAGAAATTCAAAATTTCTCTGGACTCAGCCAATGCATTAGAGAAATGCTGAGAAATTATAGGAAGAATTGGGCCAGAGAAATTCTGAGAAATACAGAATTGCTGTAGACTTTCCAGAGAAATTTGGTTCAGATTTCTCTGGACCAATTTTCTCTGGACTGAAATTTCTCTAGACTGAAATTTCTCTGGATCAAGGTTGAGAGACCTTAGACATTATGAAAATATTGTTGAGGGATCTTAGACATTATAAAAATATTTGGTGTCCTATATGCTATAAAATCATAATACCGGGGACCTTAAAAAAAAGCCCATTTTTTTTTAATGTGATTGTAATTAGTTTAATAGTTCTTTTTTTTCATGTATTTATTTTATTATGTGAAAAATGTGATGTGATTGTAATTTGTTCGATGACTCTTTTTTTTAATATGATTGTTGTAGTTAGTTCAATGTTTTTTTTCTTTTAATGTTATTTAATCTTTTTATTTATTATTTTAATTTTATTTTTGATTTTTTAGTATGATTGAAGTTAGATAAATATAAACCCTCACAAAGAGAAAAATGTGATTATAATTAGTTGAATGATTCATTTTTTTTAATGTGATTATAGTTAGTTTAATAGTTCTTTTTTTTTCATTTATTTATTTTATTATGGGAAAAATGTGATGTGATTGTAGTTTGTTCAATGGCTCTTTTTTTAATATGATTGTTGTAGTTAGTTCAATGGTTTTTTTTTAATGTTATTTAATCTTTTTATTTACTATTTTAATTTTATTTTTAATCTAATTAAAGTTTAGATAAACATAAACACTCACAAAGAAAAAAATGTGATTGTAATTAGTTCAATGGTTCTTTTTTTTTAATGTGATTGTAGTTAGTCAATGGTTTGTTTTTTCATTTATTTATTTATTTTATTATGGAAAAACTGTGATGTGATTGTAGTTTGTTCAATGGTTCTTTTTTTAATGTAATTTAATCTTTTATTTACTATTTTAATGGTTTTTCTTTACAATCTATCTATCTATATCTATATCTATATCTATATCTATACTTCTATACTATATATTAAGCAAAAGGGAGTTTTTAACCCCCAAGGCCTGTGGGAGCTTCAATATCCCAATCTGAATTTTCTAAATTTTTTATTTTTTATTTAAAAAAAAAACTTAGCATTTATTGATTTGGTCAAAATCCCCTGATTAGCATTTATTAAATTTTTTCAATCCACATGTCTTTCCACATGCCTACATTTATTGATTTGGTCAAAATCTACTAATCAGCCTTTAAAATCCCCTCATACAAATAATTATAGATACAATCCGTGTATAGTTACTGCAGTACCCTTTTCAACTTCTCCCATACACTATGGTTAGTGATAAGATTGTTAAATTATTTTTATAAAAAATCTTTAAAAACATAATTTATATATTAAAAAAAATCTAAAACAAATATAAATATCTATAATTATCTCGTGCATAGAACCGGGTGATAGGCTAGTTAGTATTATTTTAAAAAGTTAATTATTTAAAAGTTCTATTTATAAATGTTATGGTAGTTTAGGTCCTTTTTAATATTTTTTGAACCAATAAGTCCTATCTAATAAACTTGAGAATACTGTCATTTTTTTTAAATTTTTTTAAAATTAAGAACATTATCAATTTTGTATAGTAATATTTCAAATAATTGTTTCACTAATTAATGAAAAAAACAAAGCATGAGATTAAACTTATTTAGCCTTCTACTTATTGGTTTGATTTAACTATATAATAAAACCGAGAATATTAATAGCTTTTTTCAGTTTTAAAACTGAGAACATTATCAGTTTTTTCATTTTTAAAGTTTTTTTTTTTTTTTTTTTTTTGCACATCAATGTTCATCATCATGCTCTTTATAAATACAAAATTTTCAGTTTTGTACAAAAAATAATTCAGTTTTTTCAAAAAAAAAATTAAAAAAATTTTAATTATTTGTTTTTATTTTTTTTTTGCATAAAATTTTTAATTTTTTTTTTTCAATTTGAAAGTTAATATTTTAAAGTTTTGAAAATCGAAATAAATGTCAAATTATCATGTTATTTTATAAATATTCATAAATGATGAACAATCATTATTTGAAGGGCAATTCCGACTATAAAAAGTTTAATGAGACTTGAAAGTCCAAAAAATCTTAGTTAGGACTTAATGGAGTATAAATTCATAAATTAGAACTTATGTGTAAATACCCTAAGAGGGAGATTTATGATCTGGAATTGGGCCGAGGTAAAGGCCGAGCAGGTTGAGAGCCTAATGGTGCATCGGGCCGAGATGACCGGCGATCCGCTTGGAGTTGGGCTGCCAGGAGTTGGACCGAGCAGGAGTTGGGCCAAGTATGTGTGGCCCAGTTTGGAAAGAAGCTGCTCGGTAAGGCAGTGCTCGGTTGGACCGAGCTGCTTGATCAGGCGATGGTGGAGCCCGTCAAGCTGAGTGACCGGCGCCCGGAAAGGCGTGGTCAGCCGAGGTAATCATTTGATCGGCAGGAAGGCCGACCACAGGAGGTGCCCCGGACTAGGCTTTGCCGAGATGCCGCCTAGCCCGGTCCTCCTTGGGCTAAGCCAGTGAAGTGCTTGGGTATGAAGCACAGCACGGCCGTGGATAGAGAAGCTCGGCTGCCGAGCTCGGGCTGAGAAGACAGGCAGTTGAGATTAGGTGATGTTCAGCAAGGTTTATGCTGACAGATGGGATAGCGGAGCCACGTGTCAGGAGATGACTGGGAGTGGATATAGGGCGCAGAGGGTATGTAAGCATGTCTGCGCCCCCAATACGCGACGGACGAACACTTGGTAAGGAAATTCTTACATTTAAACACTTCTCCTTCTCTCTCTCTCTCTATCCTAAGGTGTGTGCTAACTTGATCGTCGGAGGGTTTTTCCGACCACACACTGCCGGATAGCTCACCGTTATTTGCTCGCAGGTGATCGGATATAAACGGAGCTCGAAAGAAAGGAGTACAGGCTTGCCGGAATATTTGCTCCCCGTACAATTGGCGCCGTCTGTGGGAAACTTGACAGACAAAACCTTGTCTTCCAGGTTCATCTGATCGCCGTCCATGGCGAACAACGACGAGTTTCCGTTGTCTGCCATAGACGGAGCCACCTCGGAGTTCACCCGAAGGAGAGAAGGCCCTCCCGCCATCCATCCAATGGCGGACTTGGGGACGCCCACCGGAGGACAGTCAGGAGACGCGCGGGATAAGCACGGAAGAAGTCATGGTCATTCACGGAGTCCAGACGGTCACCGGTGGAGGAGAGATTCACACGCCAGACGTCTGGAAAATAAGTTGAGAGACCAAGACGCTGTCATCCGGCGAATGGCGGCAGAGATGGAGGATCTGAAGCGGCATGTCAAAGGTAAAGGTGTAGCTGGAGTGGGTGACCACAGTGAGCGCACCCCATCCCGCCGTTCAGGCAGTCAGAGTCAGCAACGCACTCAGTCCATATCTATTACCAGAAGTTACCAGGTTGGTGATTCTGACGCGCATGCAGAAAAGTCTAGCGCGCAAGACAGCACCTACAAACCCTCACGTCCGGTGACAACGTCGAGGTACTCTTACTCCGCTTATTTAGAGGATTTACGGGCCGTCTTAAAGGAGCATGCTCGCCGGTGCGAAACTCAGAGAATACCGGCTTTCCAGCGGCTATCCTACGAGGTTCACGCCAGCGAAGAGGTCGTAATGCCTCCACCCCGCCAAGCAGTGCCACTCTTTGAAGATACGGACTTGGCCAAGCTGAGTGCCACCCATTTTTCCCTGGAAATAGAAACAACACCACTTCCGGCAGGTTTCCACCAGCCTAAGTTCACACTCTGCGATGGAAAAATTGATCCTTACATGCATGTGAGCCACTTCCGATAGGTTATGGCTGGACATCGGCGAAATGACAGACTCATGTGCCTAATCTTCCCGTCAAGTTTAGGTGAGCTGGGCTTAAAGTGGTTTGAGAGGTTGCCGGAAGGGAGCATACAAAGGTGGCATCAGTTGGCCGAGGCGCTTGTTACACGCTTCAAAACCAACACAAAAATACCAAAGGAGGTCGATCACTTACTAAGTGTCAAGATGGAGCCGAGCGACACTCTGAAGGCATACAACTCAAGGTATTGGGAAACCTTCAACGAGATCTTGGATTGCCCGGTCAACCTCGCAATCACGCAATATAAGCGTGGTCTCCCGGTCGGCCATAGACTGC